ATGTGACAAAAAGTGATTTCTGCTCTGACATTTCGAAGAGCTACAGGGTAAAGTGAACAAATTCTATCTAGAGCAGTGTAGATATGACAGGTGTCACTTATATCACTCGTAGGACCAATATAAAATGTAGTATATAGCAAAGTCAGTCCTGCCTTTCGTCCACAAAAATCTGGAATTAGTTTGTTTTGCCTGTCTTCAGACACTCAAGAATATTTGGAGTCTTTTAATTAAGTGACTCTTCCTTCTTCCCCTGCCTTTCAAATATCCAGTGCTTTTCCCATGACAGTTTAAATCCCAGAGTGACTGTCACTGTCACACCATAGATGGCATTATAAGCAGTGCATCAGAGGTCACCCCAAAGCTTAATTACTTTACCTGAAAGAGGAGGCTTTGCAGACACATCACCTTCTGCCTTCCAGGCCTCTAAATATCTCCAGGCACTTTTGAAGTTTCCTGAACAAGTATCACAGAACAGAAGCTATAGAATGTTTTGGATTCAAAGGAACTTTAAACACCACCTCATTGCAGCCCCCTGCCATGGGCAGGGACACCTTCCACTAGCCCAGGTTGCTCCAAGCCCCATCCAGCCTGGTCAAGTACAAGCTTCCCAGGGCAAAGCAAAGCTCAGGTTACCACACCAATTCACATGGGACCACATCCTCATGGCAAGCCTGGAAAAACTAAAGGTCATCACCATCAGTTGTAACAGCTGAGCTCTTGTGAGAAAAGTCCCAATATTTGGTAGATCCTCACTATGTGTCCTCAGGGGAGAAGCACTCGAGGGTGCCCGTGGAGCCCCTTGTAGGCACACATCAACCAAACCATCTGTGATCTCAGGATAATATTTCAACAGTTCCTGGAGGCTGGAAATCATCTTTTCTAGAAATACCTTCTGGGGTTTGGGTTAGAAAGGGTGTTGGGGAGTGCTGAATATTTCTAACCTCTGCAGACGTGTCTGCAAGAAGATGAATGGTGAAAGAGCTGATGGAAAAATTTAATTTCCTGCTCTGAAAGTAATGATATTATTCCACAGGCTGCAATATTATGGATATATTAATTTAATTCTTATTTAAATATGATGAATTTTTGTTTTTTTGATTTGAGCTCTTCAAGATCTTTCAGTGTTAATTTTCAGATTAGTTACTCTTTTATTCATTAGCTTTAAGAAAGAGGCGAGGAGTAAAAATAGGTTGAGAACAAAAAAAAAAAAAAGGAGAAACCCAAACTATAAGTCTCCCAGATCTTCACAAATTGAAATATAGATAAGTTTTCTTTGTTAATAAATATATTTTTTGTGAGAAATGGCAGGGAACTTAAAATCAATTGACCAAACTCTATTTTGAGCCCTCCTTTCTGTCTTTTTAGGTAAACCAAATAAAGCAGGTACAACCACGCACTCTCTCCTTTACAAGGATGCTGTTCTGACATAGTTCCACAGGCAGATGAAGTGTGACTCAATATCTGCATCACTGACGGTGCTGATACGGAGTGATTCTAAAATATAAATTGTGAGCCAAACCCCATGCTGGAATATGTCACTTAACTTCCTGCATTTGCAGGAATAAGACAGAGAGACCAAGTCACTCTCCTGTTGGCACCAAGTGACTGAGTTTGCTCATCCACTGATCTGAGAAGGAAGCTCTCACCTGGCTCCGAAAGGAAAGGAAGAGCTGAGCCTTCCACCTACACACACATCCACCCACAAACCTCCCTGACTCAAAGGTTCCCATGGCTTTCTGCTGTTCCTGGCTTGATTTGATTTCCTTAGCTGCCCTAAGAGTCCTTAAATATCCATCCATTAGGCAGAAGTGCCAGAAGCATCAGCCATGTGCCTCCGGACCTGATGTTTCTTTAATTCCATGAAGCAAAGCAGCAGTGACAGCCCAGCATCAATAATTCACCAGGAGGGCTCTGGTGAGCGGCTGCTGGAGCTGTTGTGGCACTCACAGCACAAGGGCTGCGTGGTGAAGCACTGGAGGGTTTCTCTCCCCACTTCCCCAAAGTGGTGGCCCACGAGGAACCATCTGGTTGGCCCCAGTTAGCCACAGTGTGCCTGCAGCACTCCCTGTGTGGCACTCACAGCACCTGTTGGAGAGCAAGGAGCCAGGCAAGAATCACAGAATCATAGAATGTTAAGGGGTTAGAAGGGACCTTAAAGATCATCCAGTCCCAACCCCCCTGCTATGGGCAGGAACACCTCGCACTAGACCCGGTGGCTCAAGGCCTTATCCAACTTGGTTTCGAGCACTGCCACTGGGTGACAGTGGTTATCTGGGGCTGGGAAGAGGAGGGGCTGAAGTAAAATGATCTTTGGTCACTGAAGGTGACAGAGAAGGTCTAAAGCTTGCATCTGCACCGTGACACCTGACTAGTCGGGCCCTGAGAGGGACAGAGCTGTGGCTTCTCTCTCCACCAAGGTTTTGCGTGGTACTGATCTGAAGATAAACCAAAATTGACTCAGATGAGGGCTCGAAGAGCTTCCTTGGACTGGATGGTCTAAGAGATCTTTTCCAACCTAAGCAATTCTGTAATTTTATCCTATGATTCTATCCCATGATTCTCCCCCCCAGGGGAGGGTGAGTGCCTGTGCAGTCCTTAGTTGCCAGCTGGGGTTAACCCTCAACATATGCACAGCACATTCTTTCCTCCTGATCTGGTATAAAATGAAGTTATTTGATGGGTCCATCCTGCTCCCTTGGGTATTCATGATAAAAACACCCAGAGGCATTCAGTAAACATCCTCTGCTGCAGGGATTACCAGCAGGGGAATCAGTTATGTAAATTAATTGGGCCTTCAAGAGTTGGAAACACATACACAAACACAAATCAGTCACTAAGAGAAAACTTCAGCTTTCTCCTGAAATCTAGAAAGCTTTACAATGATGATGATGGTGATGATGATGATTGTTTCATTAAATCATAGAATACAAAGATTGGAAAAGACCTCTAGGCTGATTGTAGATTTAACTTATCAGTTTTTACATTTTTCCCGTAAACACTGGGAGTTTAATCTTATTGATAACAATGTCTTAAGGAAAAGGGTGCAGGTGGAGAGAGGGGAGATATCAGATCTTGCAAAAAAGAGTTGAGAGACCACACCAAAGGATATTCTGAGTCTCCTCTTGCCTGTCCTGCAGCTGTCCACTCTTGTATGCTTTCTCACTCCTTGGTAAAGAGACCCAGCAGAGACAGTTCACAGTCCTGTCAACCTCTCCTGCCCTTCAAGGTATGTCCACCAATAATCTTTGTCCTGAAGCAAAGCCTTCATCTTCTTTCTCATCCCTTTATCTCCTAAGAGGGTAAAGACCCATCTTATTTAAAGAAGGCATCACCTTTAGGCTTTTCTCGAAGAATCACAAAGGTAGGAAAAGACCTCTAAAATCTTCAAGTCCAGCCATTAAACCAGCACCTCTACCATGTTCACCACTAAACTATGTCCTCAGGTGCTGCCTCCACACATTTTTTGAACATTTCCAGGGATGGTGACTCCACAACTTCAAGCGGCTTTGGATCACTGGTTCAGGAGAAGAGGCAAACACTGCAGTCCTGCACATCATCCACATGGCATGAGGACATGTACTTGTGTTCTGGAGACAGGCAGCTCCCAGGGCTCACAAACTGACCTGGGCTCTGCACCCTGAGCTGCTCCTTCCCTGATGAGTGTGTGTGTGTGTGTGTAGGACCTGAGAACTCACCCTGTCCTGGGGAGTCTCAGCTGCCTTTGACGACTCTATTAGCCCTTTAAAGCCTGGTTTAAGAAAACAGAACAAATCTGAAGTGAAAGAAAAGGGGCTTTCCTGCAGCATGCAAAGCCCTGACAGCGTGCAGGGTGACAGCTCCTGAGCCATGGTCCCGAGTGGCTGCAGGGAACAGCTGCTGTACATGGACACACACGGCTCTGGCAGGGCTTCAGGCACAGAGGGAAAATCTGCCCGAGCAGAGAGCTCTCACACACGTGCACAAGCACTTACCAAGCCCCAATAACTGTGCTGCAGGGTATCTTTTGCCTTCTTATTGTGCAGGGCTTAAGGCTCGGCTGCCTTGATGAGAAAGCTGTCCTGATTGCTTGCAAACTCTCAGCATTCCCACTTAAAACTGATTTAAAGAGGCAGGAAAGGCAATCAGGAAACAGCTCCCGCTCCATCCCTGAAAGCAAACTTAATTTTAACACCTAATTATGTGCAACACAGACTCATTCCTACTTCCTTTGCCAAGCTGCTCCTTGGTTTTGAAGAAGTGGTGCTCAGCCTTGAGGGGAGGGAGGCTTTGATTAGGAGAAAGCAAAAAAACTGGTGAAGAGGAGAAAAACCCGACTGAATAGTGGTACCTGCAGCAGGATGCTGCCTCTGCCACTCACCTGCTCTGTCACCCTGGGCATGTGGCAGGGGCACCTGGGCTTTGATTTCCCTGCCTTTAAAGGAGATGGGAAGGCGATCATTTTCCTCCCACGCATCATGCTTGGAGACACAGGACTGCAAAGTGCTAAAGTAGAGCAGGAAAACTATTCTGGTTGCCTAATGACAGCTCCAGAAGAAGTAGCAGGATATATCCATTTTTCCACATCTCTTTAAGCACAGCTAACGAAGAGGAAAGAAAAGCCCTGCCCTGGCTGAGAGCAAGCAGCAGCACTGCAAGTGATGCACAGAAACGTGGGAAACACACTGGAGCGCAGGAATTCAGTTACAGGGCTGTTTGCAAATTAATGGCTAAATCAATTAAATGAAAGCATGGGATTTCTCTTGAGGAAAGTCTGGTCACAGTCGCGAGGAGAAGGGGAGGGGTTGTGGGGCAGGGATGACATAATCACGTTTGCCAATCACCAGCAGTGTGCATGCTTTAATCCATTAATGGGGTTTTTATCTGTGATCATAAAAAGCAGGTTACAGTCAGCCTGGGAGGGAGTGAGGGTTGGAGGAGACGGGGAGGGGAGAGAAAGAGAGAGAGAGAGAGAGACAGAAAGCAAGGGGAGAAAGAGAGCACAATTCACTCGGTGAATTGCTTGCGAGCTTGGGGCTGATAATTAGGGATCTCGGGAGAGCAGTTTCTCAGAATAACGTACTCTCCTTCAAATGGACCGGATGGAGACAGTGGTTCAGTCCTGCTGATATTTTTTAAGCCCTCCTCGCAGTTTGATGGGCATTCCCAGAGCTTTTGTGCACGTCTCGGAAAGCGTTGACGTGGAAAGGAGCAGCGAGGAGGGGGAGGTTGGAGGAGAAAGCTGCAGCTCCTCCAAAAACACGGAGGGCATGCAAGGGAGCGAGCAGGCTGGGGAGGAGGGCGAGGTGGGCGCACCTCGCACCATGTTCCCCCGGTGCCGGCGCGGCGCAGTTTCGGAGATGTCTCTCCTGTGACTGGACGCACCATGAGCATCTGGGAGCTGGTCCTGGCTTTCGTGGTGGTGCTGCTGATGCTCGTGGCCCTGCTGGCCAACGTGCTGGTGCTGCTGTGCTTCCTGTACAGCGCCGACATCCGCAAGCAGGTCCCGGGATTGTTCATCCTCAACCTCACCTTCTGCAACCTGTTGATGGCCGTTTCGAGCATGCCCCTGACCTTGGCCGGGATCATTTACAAGAGTCAGCCAGGAGGAGATCATATCTGCCACGCTGTGGGCTTCCTGGAGACTTTTCTCACCACGAATTCCATGTTGAGCATGGCAGCTTTGAGCATTGACAGGTGGATTGCTGTGGTCTTCCCTCTAAGTTACCACTCCAAAATGAGGTACAGAGATGCTGCTCTCATACTGAGCTACACGTGGTTGCACTCGGTGTCGTTCCCGATAGTGGCAGCTTCTCTCTCCTGGGTGGGTTTCCATCACCTCTATGCCTCCTGCACCCTGTACAACAAGAGACCAGAGGATAGGACACAGTTTATGATTTTCACTGGGGTCTTTCACGCCCTCAGCTTCCTCCTCTCTCTTATAATCCTATGTTTCACATATCTAAAAGTGCTGAAGGTGGCACGGTTTCACTGTAAGAGGATTGACGTGATCACTATGCAGACCCTGGTGCTGCTTGTGGACATCCATCCCAGGTAAGGTGCCTGTGTGTTCAGCAAGTGGGACTATTCGTGGCAGAAAAAGTGAGGAGGGGGTTCAGTGTTATGTTAAAACAGTCTGATCTGTACTGGACCAAGGGATGGGGAGGGGTAAAAAAGAACCATCCTCCTCGACAGTTTCTATTCTGCATGCTTCTTTTCACTTGGGTTTATTTCTCTGATTATAGGACTTATTTTCTGTTAGGCTTAAAGACTTGTTTCAGGAGGGAGGGCAAAGTAAGAGGCAGTTTTAGCTGAGAATGCACTTCCCTTTGAGACAGTGATCAGATCCCTGCCCTTTGTGTCCGAAGGTGGATTTAGTGGTCGATAGGTTTGCATTTTTGGCACTGTCAGCCCAAAATGTTTCTGGATCCTTGAGGGAGGAGGCTGCACCTGTCCCTTCAGCTGGAGTTTGGAAGGGAAGCTGGGCGCTGCCTGCAGCTCCTTTGCTCAGCAGTTTCCCTGTTGCTGTGCTCTCTCTAACTTTATCATTCCTGAAGGCGGAATCCTAAGGGAACATCATCTGCAAAATGCGTGCGCTTGAATGCCTATATTTAAATTTAAGGGAGAGAGAATTCAGCAGCAGTGTTGATATGAAAAAAAAGGGATGTATAAAGCCCATTTCAAATGAGAGGCTTTAGGCAAGCCCCTCGTGCCGAGACACAGGAGGAGAAAAGCCTCCAGGGGCTGGAAGGATAGTGGGCTTGAAGGCAAGCACCGAGCGGGAAGGAATGCGGGCTGGGATGCTGAGCAGAAGTCACATCAGGGATTATGTTATAAATCTTGCATGAATAGGCAATCTATGGATCTGGAAGGGGCGCAGGTTTGGTGTCTGAAATGGGGGGAGAAATCTGCCTGGAAGACAGGAAAGCAGAGAGGGCAGTCCCGTGCCTGACATCCCATCTGACCTCCCTTGCTCCCCTGTGCCCCACGAGCTGGAGGCAAACACCGTCTCTCTCCGTTTGCAGCCAGCCAGGAGCAGAGCTGCAGGGCTCAGGGCACATGTGGCTGTCCTCAAAAACAGGTCAAGTTTTGGGGATTCCTGAGGCTAAGACAAATAAGTCTGAAAGGATCAGGGCAGGACAGCACACTGTTGGAAGAACAGAAGCACTTGCTCAAAATTCTCCAGTTAAGCTCTTTGAGCTGTCTCTTGACCAAGAATGCAGAGCAGAACTTTGGGCAAGGCTTGCTGCTGTTCTTGAGAAATACAGGTATAAATCTTCCCTTATTCACCAAGTCAAATTGAGGAACAAACACTCTCCTGTCCTATGTGCTGTCTGGTTGATAAACTGTACCTTGACTGTCTCAGTTCCTGTACCAAAAGATGTGGTGGTTACTCCCAGGACAGTGCCATAATCTCTCTGGGGCTGTTTGAAACAGCATTTGTTTTGCCTAATGCTTCAAGCATGTCTGGACTGCACAGCAAAGTTTAGAAAAAGGGCAAAAATCTCAATGTTATTTCTCCTCCTCTGCATTTTTTATGGTCTAGGTTAAATTGAGGCTCTCTGTGCATTTTCTAATCATCTCACTGAGGAATGGCTTCAGTGGGGCTGTGGGAATGATGCTTCCTTTCTTCAGAAGAGACAGAGTGGTACAGGCACTTTGCTGTGAGTAACCTGTACCAACAGCTCTTCCCTCTCACACCAGGTTACTCTAATGCCTCTCTCTAAGAAAACAGAGTTTGAGTTTCTTTTCCAGATTACAGAACTGGTGGCTGATTTGACCCATGGAGGTGCTGCCTTAACCGGTGACAGCTCCTGCTGCTGAAAGGGCCAGCTCTCAGGTCCCCTTCCCTCCTGTGAGAGCTGAACACAGGGTCAGTGATGCTCATAAAGCTCTGACACAACAAAGGCATCATTTGCCTTATATTATTGTGTATACACAGGCATTTTCAGTGTGTACCTGACACCACAGACACGGATGCTGGGAGAACTCACACGAGAGAGCAAAGTTTGCAACCCCAGCTTAGACTGCCCTGACTCCTCCAGCTCTTTCCAGGGTTTAGTTTCAACGCTGAGAAATGTGTACAGACAATTTCTCTGCTTCCTATGACTCAGAATCCACCCTCAGGGGGGTCTAGTGACAGGCATTATGGCAGATGGCTTTATTACCTGTGACTTAGAAAGGCACGAGTGACCTCCTGAAGATCATTCAAGACGAGTACAAAGGAAACCTCTAAATACCATACAAATTCATGGGAATGTTTTGGGCACACGTCCTTTCAAGTTAGCTTAGGCATTTCTAGTGGATCCTGCTTTTCCCTGACTTTGTTCTTAAGACCAAAATATCTTAGGAATTGTGAGAGATTTGGGAAAAACTTCACTTAAGTGTTTAATCTGTGTATTTCTTCACTCAAATTATCTACACAATCTTTTTGGTGTATCCAGCTCTACTCATCTTAAGGTCCAGTATCTCATAAACTTTATTTTAAATACCAAACCTTCAAGAGGATATAGCTTAGATTTTCCAGGATATTAAAATCTTTTAATGAAAGCTTAGTCAATAATCCCATTCTGTTACTGGTGTCACTACTGGAACTTGCATATGTGTTCTTATCTTAGTGCATGGAAGTGTGTGCAAGAACAAAGTACTTGTCTATATGAAGGAATGAGATAAAATACCTTCATCTGTGTTGTGGTATTTACTGGCTACATCTGGAAAGGCTGAACAAAAGAAATTGGGTTTAAGTGTATCAGGACAGTCGTGTTTGTGAGCTACAGGAGTCAGAGACAGCTTTGTATGTGCCAGTAAGGAAAAGATGTAACTGGGGAAACTGTTAGAGATAAAAAATACACACCCTCTCCACCCTTAGAACACTCTAATTGAACCTGCTTTGGAGAAACACTTTCCCATATTGCTGTGGGCTTGGGATACTATGAGTTTAATAACACAGGTCTTAAGTGAAGCTGTTGAACCTCTAAGATAATCTGCCTGAACCTAAAAACACTCCAAATTTCCCATCTCTTGCAGAATTGAAAGCCCATAGGTTCCCTTGAAAAGGTGGATTTTCTTCTCAGCTGTCATTTCTAGCTGCAAATAACTCAGACACAGAACATGCAATGCTTTTAGATGTGGCATGTTCTTTGAAAGAAAGATGATTTGTCATTTCAAGGAGAACAAACTTTTCCTCCAGTATTTATTTCCTCATGTCGTGATAGCTGTTCTGGGGACTGGCAACATAAGACCAAATACAGAATGGAACAAAGAAAACACATTTTCTTTTACACAGTGGAAAGGCAACAGAGGAACTCATTGCCACAGAGATCACCAGTGCACACTGAGATCCTCAGGACATAACACGTGTTTAGATGATGATAAAACATTTGCAGATACAGCAGTGTATGGCCCTAAGCCTCAGCTACGAGCACATGAGAGGGTGGAGCCTGAGAGTGAGTCATCAGTTACAAATTTACAATAAAAAAAGAGAGGCCAATGTCAAGCAGTTTTAAAATATTATATATAGATAGATAGATAGATACAGGACATGGTCCAGCCCTTTCAGTTTGCCTGAATTGCGTCACCACGAGATCTGTGCAATGAGTCAACACGTGGCACAATTATGTGCACAGAGAAGGTTTCAGGATGGCAGTCTGGCTTTGGTTTTGCCCTTTCTAAAGGGATTCATTCAGGTACAGATGCTCCTGGCACTCTGGGACATAAACCCCATCCAATCTACCTGCCTGGAGCAGGCAGTAACTCGGCCCCTTCCCTCACAAAGCACAGCGAGCACAGGAGTCACTCCAGCAGGTAAAGGAACAGGATGAGATTTCACATTAATAACACTTTTGACAAGAAAATGTGCTGATTTCAAAGGAAATTTCACAGCTTTGCAGTGAAAGCACTCAGCCCCGTGGTCCCATCACCTTGCTGGCACACCAAAGGAATTAGCAGCTCTCTGGTGGCCTGCTGAGACCACCAGCAGGAAACTCAAAGGACAAGCTCTAGTCCGAGGAGGAAACAAGGGGTGGGACTAATTTGTGCCTGTTTAGCCAGAAACAGGGCTGGTTTGAGGTGAGAAGTGAGGATAGCACAGTGCTGTGGATTTATTATGCAGTTCCCAGCTTTGCAAAACATTCAGCACGGCAGGCGTGCAGAGCTGCACAGGCTGATGGAGTATTTATGGACACAGAGTTCATAGCTATGGGATACAGTGATTGCTCCAATGTTGCAGCACTCTGAAAGTCCAGAGCATGTTTTCCCGCTAGGATTTTGTTGTGGTTTATTGCTCATCTTGCTGGGAAGCTTCTTCTCCCTAGGGTAGTGGTGCTGGAATTGCTGTTTCTAGGGAAGCAGCATTTTTTGGAGGGTAAGATGGTCAGACAATGCCTTAATACTTGATATTGTCCCACATAAATTCAGTGCACCTGGCATTGTCTTATGTGATCGTAACAGATACTGGAAGGATTGTTCCCCATCATTCCATAAGTAAAGCCATTAAAACCTGTTACCTGATATTATGATTCATGTTCTTGTCTGTGTTGGATGTCACACAGCGTGAGAGAGCGTTGTCTGGAAGAACAGAAGAGGAGGAGGCAGCGAGCAACAAAGAAAATAAGTACCTTTATTGGTACCTTCATACTTTGTTTTGCACCTTACGTAATTACAAGGTAAGTGTGAACCTACCTCCTGGAAAAGGCTCCTGAGATGCAATTGTAACTCAGAGAAGTAGGGCCCTCTGAGCCACAAGATTGTTCTGTTTCCTGTGAAAATTTCATGCACTGCTTCCACTCCTGTAAGAGGGATTGCATTTACTGAGCTAACAAACGATGTAAAATGTCACAGTGCTTATCCAGTTCAGTCCTGGTGCAGGATTCTGATCAGAGTCAGCTCAGACAGCCCAGTCAGTGTGCTGGTCGCATGGGAGTGATTTAGGGAGTCAGTCCAAACAATTTTGCAGACTTTTTGGGGGACCAAGTAGTCACCTACTGCCTAGATTGCCTCCCTGGTTCAGGGGAAGACACTTGCCTGAATAGGTCAGACTGTAAAAATTTGGTCAACAAGATCCAGCTGAGGTGAGAACAGGGTCCCCAGACTTAAACCATAGTTTTGTCTGACTGGATAGAGTTTATTAGTCATAAACACCAAATATCAAAGCTGTGCTGGCTCATAACAAAAAAAAATTGCTTGTGATTTATGGTCACATGTCTATCTGTCTACTAGCTTATCTTTGGAAATGGCTCCTGTGGGAAACACTAAATTACTCCTATGAAATATAAAGTATTAGAAAGTGAATATATCCAGAAAAAATGTTATCTAACTGTTGAAGGAAATTTATAGCTTGCATTCCTTATTAAAAGACTCTGGAAAAACTGAGATGCTGCTATGCAGAACAGAGCAGGGAAAAAATATTTTTAAAGTGTCTCCTATTCCAATACTATTAAGTAGAAGTTAGTGAGGCTGACTTCAGTCAAACTCAGATCCAGCATAATAAAATCATTGAAAAAGCTGGATTAAAGCTGCCTTTAGTCCATACAAGATCCATAAAAGAGACTGATGATGAGAAGAGTCACGAAGATGCGCCCTGGGAGCTGGCCAGGCTTACCAGGGCTGTTGAATTCTCTCACATTCCTGGTCTTTTCAGTTCTGACATGCCCAGGGGGAACTCAGCACAGCGTGCCAAGGGGAATTCCCTCTTCAGCTGCTTGAGAGACCTTGCTGGACACTTGCATGGATGGATGTTCAAGGACACGAATCAATCACTGTGCCTCCCTCTGCCTCACACATGGGGCTGAGGGTCTTGAAATCGAGGGGACAAGGAGATTTTGAGTTTAATTTTACAAGCAAGTAGTATTTTCTGTGTTATGCCCAGTGCTTTGCACTTACAAGAGAGTGTCAATCAATCCCATTTGAAGGCAGGGAAGAGCAGACAGAGGAGGGAGCACATTGCTCAGCCTCTCATTTGGTCAGTCAGCTCTAATCAGCAATCCACTTAAATTAAACATGCTCTTAAGTACTCCCTGAATTGGAGGCTGAAAGCAGCAAATCACAAGGCTTTACAATAACAACATCTTTCTGTTTCAACACTAAAAATAAATAGGTGTCACTAGATGTTCCATGAACCAGCAAAGGAGTTGTGCTTATAATCCCAGAGAGATAAATGCCTCTCTGGATAAAGCAGAGTTTTTCAGACCACATTAAGGTGAAAATCAGATTAGGCACTTCTTTTACGAAGAAAACACCATCCTAATTAGTTCAATAGATGACCTTAAGTATTGTATCAGTAGAATTTGGGTCTTCTTGATTCAGTGTTTCCACTCCATCAGTATGACAGATGTATTATCACATATTATATATTTCTAGGCAGAGTTTGTTTCTTGGTTTTTCTATGAGTGCACATCTCTTCTTTTGTTATATTTAATATCATGCAATTAAATAGCATTGTTCCAAACCTCTTTTCTCCAAGGATCTTTTTCATAAGAAAGATGAAGATAAGTTTTTAATATCCATTTCAAACTCCGGGCATTTCTGAATACTGAAATACATAACTTTGTTCATGTAAGTTAATAAGTGCTGTCAATGTGTGAGGAAATTGGCCTTAAATTAAAAATCCTGAAGTAATATCAGACAGAAGTTCATAGACCCAAGCCCTCAGGTTACATTGGAGGATGATGGAACAGGCAGAAGAAGATTAAAATTCTCTTGTATAATCTCTGGGGGACAAGGGGTAAATAAACTCTGATTTTAAACTGATTGCTTACCCTCTGCATATGCAGATCCTGCCTGGGATACAAGAATTTCAGAATTCTTCTGCAACTTGTATTCTTGCCTATTTGTGCATATAAATGCATGACTTTCCTATGCAATCACAAGTTGACATATTTGAAGTGGCCTTCTAATCTCCATCCAGATGACGTGAGGTAGAGATATTTGTCTCCCATGTGGAAAAATGGCAGTTTTGGGGACGAGCCAGACAGTCCTGTTTGCTGTCCTTACACCCCTGTGCTGCTGGCACACTGTTCCTGCAGCTCTGGGGAACAGCAGTGACTGAAAGCAATCATTTGTAAGATTTGCAGGCCTAACTGCAAGTCCCAAGCTCATAGTGCTTCATTACACAGCCTCTCTGGTTGTCATGTATTCACTGCTTCAGAGGCAAAGCTGGTCAAGGAGAAATCTGCCGAGGATCACTGTGATGCCATTTTTGTACAGGGAAGAGATTATTAAAATAGGGCTTTTTCATTAGCAAGTCAGCACAGAAAAGATTCAGTCCACCAGGCAACAAAGTGAAAATAAGTCCAAATGAACATCAAATAAACTGATCATAGAATCACAGAATGTTTTGGGTTGGAAGGGACCTTAAAGACCACCTCATGCCACCCCCTGCCATGGGCAGGGACACCTTCCACTAGCCCAGGTTGCTCCAAGCCCCATCCATCCTGGCTTTGAACATTCCAGGGATGATCAGCTTATTCAAATTATTAACACCAAAATAAAAACCTGTGTATAATTCTGGTACTACAGGACTTGTATGGGGAAAAAAAAAAAAAGTCAGAATTAGGCACAAACAGAAAAGTTACCTCAAAGAGTTCATACAAATTCTTGGGGAAGGCATTGAATTTCTTCTTGTAAGAGCTCCATCATCTACCAGCTCCAGCCTGCAGTGCCAGTTTTCTTTCACACGTGAACTGCAAGACATTTTAACTTGTTTGAGGCTCTGGTCTAGTCAGACTTGCCTCCATAATTCAGTTAAAGCCCCAGGTTTAAGCAATGCATGACAGAGATGTTGCCATTTACTCAGCCTTCCAGCTGGGTGTACACATGTTCAGTAAATATATATTAGTGTAGTGATTAACTGCACATGTAAATAAAGGATTTCCAGTATTACGTGCATAGAGATCAAGGTCATCCTCTTCAATATCCCATTCTCATTTGTTTAATGAAAGTGAAATAAAATAATTGGAGAGCCACGTGACATGACACACTCTACAGAACTAAAGTTTCTAAAATATGAACAAGGTATGATAGCAAAAGAGCTTATAGCTTTGAAATAAAAAGGTTTTGAAGACCAAACAGCAGAAGAGTGGCTTATGAAAGCAAGATAAGGAATTATGTACCTGATGCTGTAAAATTTAATTTACAGGTAGCACTGAAATATTAATATTCCTTTACTGAAAATGTCTTCTTTTTGGCTGAAACATTCCATGAAAATTGAAGCTATGCATACAATTTCCCTCATAAATGAGAAACAAAGCCTTTCAAAGGCAATAAAGTATGTGATATGCCTTGAAAGGCTGACATTTAATTGTACATGAAATGGAAACGCATAGCTTGGGGTTTGGCTGCATTTCTGTGTTTGCTGCTTGATAACTGCAAATGTAATTTACCATAAAAAATAACACATGAGAATTGAAAAATGTGTAAATGTCAAGGAAACTTGGAGAATTCAATCAAAGAAAATATTTAAAGCTTTTTTAATAGAAGTGTAGGCTTTTCATTTGATCAGTCAATGAAGGTAAAATTAGCAAGTCTAGGCTCGCAACCCTGAAGTGTCTGTTTGATATGCCTTAAATGGAGATGATTGTTAATGTCTCATAGAATTGATTGACAGAGCCTCAGACACACATTTGTCACATTTTGGTTATTCAAGGCGTCCACAGAATTTAATTAAACATAATCAAATTCTCATCTGTAAAGCATTCAGTAAAAACAAATCATCCAGATGAAATTCAACATGATGAAATTCCAAATGCGAGGTAGGCATCAAATAAATGGACTGGAGAACAACAAGAAGGATGGATCATGGTAGATTACAATGTAAATATGACTCAGGAGCTGACTAATTTCCAAATTGTCAATTCTCATTTTAGAACACATTAATTTGGATGTCGTAAGCTCCATTTTATTAAACAGGAGAGAATACACCAGATGAGACCACCCAGCAGCTGGAGCTGATGATAATTTTGTCTCAGTCCTCCTTCTACTTTGTAAGAAAAGTAATGGCCAGGAGTTAGAAGGGGAGGTTGAAATAATAACATTTGTTTAGTTGAGATGAAGGGAGAGAGGAATGGGACAGAACCTCAGACTTGGAGGTTCTTTGGGACCTCAGAGCTGCTGAGCCAAGCAGCACCAGTGGAGTGGTACAAGCAAATCCAGGCTATTGTAATGTAACATAACCTGGTCACCTCAAATGTCTCACACATCTGTGAGCCCAGAGAGCATTTTGGCTGCCCCCACCCCAAAAAGCATCACTGTGCACATGCTCCAGTGGAAGTGACACATAAAGTGATGGAATTGCTGGGCAAGCTAGAACAGAGAAGCAGAAGTTCATAGTGCTGTAACAAATTAAGGCTCCTCGGTCCCACTTTAATGCTCAAATGACTGGACTGTGCCATCTGCCAGCATTATTTTAAACAACACAGTGCAGTGAAAGTTTATGGAACGAGAATAAAATGACTGAGGGAAAAAAAAATCCTCATCTCTAAACTGCTCAAAGGGCCAACATTACTGTTATTGCTGCTGTAGGAGCCATGCATCAGAATGCTCCTTGGAAATGGTGCTTTGTCTGAAGAAACATGAGTAGTTGAAGTGTTTTCCAGACAGTTTTAAGAACATCTGCTGCTGAAGAGAGTTTCAGCAGAGATCTGATTTGCCGTGGCCTCGTGGGGCTCTCTAGCAGCACATGTGGCTGTTTGTCCTCTATGAAAATCAATGGTTTCTAACAGCTATAGAGGCATATTGAACAGAACTGCCCTTTGGTGTTGCTCAAAGACATGGGGAGTTATCAATATTTCACTGTCAGAAGTACTCCCCCTGAGTACACAGCGAACTATCTGTGCTAGTTTAGGTATGAGGAGTATATGAAGCTCTTCCCTCCCCTAATAATTTAAAAGTTTTGTCTAGCTAGATTTATTGCAAAAGTATATGTTTGGCCTTTAAACTGACCAGTTTTTAAATTCAGGATGCAATATGCCACCTCATGATGATGGATTTTCCTTCCTTGTGTGCCTCTGCAACTCAGGCAGATTGTTTGAAAGCATTGAATTCTCTCTAGGAGTTGGATGGAAAGCTGGACAGCACTGGTGAGTGGCTTCCCAGATGGCCTAAAGGGGAGCTAGAACCACAAATTCAGGCTAGGTGTTGGATTTTTAGATTGGTCATGGTAGAGAAATAAGACTTCCATGAGGCCAAGCAACACTACTTTGGCCAACAGACCTCAAGTTTACATTTGCAGTCTTAAAAATTCGTAAGAGGAGGGCAACATTCACGTTTTCATGAGTATGGCCTGCTTTTCTTTTGCTGTGCTGTAATTGCCCAGGAATAACTTGAGCGGTTTAGGGGTGGGTTAATGTCTTTCAGTTATGCTGTTGCTCAGGGTTTTTAACAGGAATGTTCACTCTTTCTACCTCCCCCTTTTCACAGACTTGTTGAATTATCCTCTGTGGTCCACATCAATTCCCACTGGGGAATCATTTCCAAGTGCTTGGCTTACAGCAAAGCTGTTTCAGACCCTTTTGTGTACTCTTTGCTCCGGCATCAGTACAAGAAGACGTGGAAGGACATCATAAACAAGATCCTCAAGAGGAGCTCCATCAACACCTCCGCCCTCACGAGCGAATCGCACAACCCGAACACATCGCAGCTGAACGAGTGAGGAGCCTGGTATGGGACCTAAAAGACGTAAAACATGATATGTGTGGAACAAAACTCAATGGCCTATCCCTAGTAGCTCTCCTCAGCTGCCCAGGTTTTGGGAGGCAGTCATGGGCAGGGTCAGTGCCAGCCCACGCCCTTCCAGTAGCCCACGTTAACATCTTAGGGAGTCAAGGCTGCTTTGGACCTCCTGCCTCCGACTGGGAGAGCACTATTGATCCGTGGTCCTGCAGGCTTCACAAATACAAATCTCCCATTGATTTCCATCAGCAGCTGCATCCACAGATAAAAAGCTAGTCCTCGGCAGAAGGGCTCATGAAAGTAACGGGAGCAAACTGGTGCCGTCGTAAGGTTGTTCTACAAAGCTGTGCTGAGTTTTTCACTGGCTGCAGGTAAAGCTCCCCCTTGATGTAGCTGCCAACATGGCTTTGCAAAACCCACCCCAGCCTAGTTGCTTGGAGAGGTTGTGTATAGGAAAAAAAATAGTGGAAAAAGCTTAAAAAAAAAATTAAAAATCTTTATTTATCTTAATATTAGTCCAGTGCCCAACACAGCTTTCATATATGTACTTTTTGAAACAATCCTGTAGAACTGAAGGAAAAAACACTCTTGAAGTATGCTACAGGGTGGATTCAGCCGTGAATTTAAATTTTAAAGGAATTTACACAAAATCCCACTAATTTTCTCCCCATTAGATTTCAGAAAAATTCGTAAGGTAGACAGAGTGGAAAGGTCAGGATGCCTCCTGCCTAATTCCATATATCTGAGCTATAAAGAACTGTATTTTGCCCAAATCTGCAGAACTGGGCCCTGTGCCCAGGCAAAAAGAAAAATAAAAATCCCTTTTTCTGAGGAGTTATTAATAATGATTTTTTTTTTTCCTACTTAAAGGAAAGATGAGCCCAAATCTGAGTATAAAGTACAATTTCCAGAGCAAGTGGAGGAAAAATAATAGTCCTCCACTCCACCAAGAAAGTGGAGCCAATAATCTGGATCCACATCTGAACGAGCAAATCTCAGGAGGTTTCAGTCCAAATCTTTACAGCTCTAGATTGCAATTATGCATAGGAAAATTATTAACATTTCCCGAGCCTTCAGATGCATGTGCCCAGATTTAGAATAGTCTTGGTTAATCAGGCTTCATGCGTGCAGTGGCAGCTTAAATAACAGCTGACACAGCTGGCTGTGTTACCACCTACCCTTTCTGATATTCCCTCTGTCAATCCCATACTGAGAAAACACAGCCAGGATCATACTGAGAAAACAGGAGCCCCAGTAGTAAAAACGTGGGATTACTTTTTAGTTACCACCTACTCTCATCTAAGAATAGGGCTTAATAAGTCGCAAAAAACACCCACTGTTGAATTTTCTGGCTTCTGATTCAAAGCCCAGACAGGGAACTCAGTGAGGGGCTTCACCCCAAAGCCAGTGAATGTGGGGTGACACCTCTGTTATCAGTCTGGATTGCCCTGCCCTGGCATGGGCTACAGCTGCAAGGAACCATGTTAGTATATAAATTTACACAGTCATCTACTCTGTAAATGGAAGAATTTATATGATGAAGATCATAAGCAACCATGTAAATAAAAATTTTTAGCTTAATTACTATTCAGCTATAAAAATACCATAATTACAATGAAATCTACACACTTTTATAATCACAGAATCTAAGTTCTTACAACACTGCATTCAAATTAACCCTCAGCCAGATTAAATAGTCTACCTCATCTCGATCATTTTGTTTCTTAGGCTTAACATAATTTTCTCAGGTGCAATGGTTAAAGACACCCAGTTTAATACTTGTTCCTTAAGAAATTCAAGTCATTTTGATGACTGGAGTGTATCAGAACACAGGAGTTTAAAAAAAGATAAAAAGCTCTATATCAATTCACTATATGATTTAATAAGACCACTTTTACTAAACTGCCCCAGGATGATTGTCAAAGTCCACAACTGTTGTTGACTTATACAAAGGGCTGTTGCCAAACTCAATGGGAGGTTTGTATGTTGATAAGGTTAACTCCAGAAGGATTTAAAATTTCAAATTCAAAGGGAGTAAGATAATTTCCTAAGAAAAAACAAACCTGTTCTACATTTAGGATGTCTATCAAAAGGCAGAGAAAAATAGAGCATTGGACTTGTCTCATTATGCTTGTGTATCAAAGTCAGTCACTGGTTGATTTATGTGTCACCATGAGCAATAAATCTCTCCACTTGTACATGTTTAAAAATTTGTCTTTCTTTCATGGTGCCTTTCTTCTACAATTAATCTTATACCAGAGAATAGATATAATTTCCCCTTCCTTGCATCAGCTCTCCGACACGTTGTCATCTTTCCACCAACCTGAAGCAAGCGGGAGTTGTAAATGCTGGTGCTTGACAAACTGCCTCAGTACACCAAATAAAAGTAATGCCCTAACATTCCCTGATGACATTTTATAAGATCCTAGAAATATGATACTGTGGCTTGTTAAGTGCTAGATGTTCAGCTGAATTCTTATAGGCAACTGGCAAAATTTTCCAAAATGTATGTCTAAAGTGATGAATGTAGATATGAGTAACTGTCTGCTGAGTATTATATGTACTATACAACACTTTGACTCGAGTGAGTTAGAACAATGATGGTAAATGTAATGCACAGTATTTATTTATTTATTACCTCTGCTCACGAAGCAGAGCTGTTCTCTTGTCAAACACACGTGTGTGTGCGGGGGAGGGAGGGGGGGGGAAAGGGGAATTTCCATTTGTTATTTAAATATTTTTGAAAAAGTTTGTAAAGTATGGCTGCAATGTGTGCCCAAAATCTGGAACTGCATGTGCAAAACTGGGCAGCTGCTTAGGCAATATGCAGTTTTCTGTTTGTTGGCATCCGTGTCCCATATGCAGTATCTATTCCTCACATGCATGTCCAATTAACATTTCCTTCATATCTTGTAAATTTGGCAGGCAGAACACTGGCAGATGAGTAAGAGAATTTAGTCCACTATGTCATTTTGTGGATTCTGAGCTTTTCCTTTGGTTTATTTTACAGTAATTTGTATAATTTCAGAGCCCTAACTGTGAACTAGGATCATGGTCTATGTGACTGTTTTGAGCCAGTTTGAATGTGAAGATCTGGGTAATTGCACTTGGAAAAAACCACGACAGACTGATAATTATCAAATAATTAATAAGTACCACGTTCTCTCCTGACATAAATCAACATAATAGTTGGTTTCACCTGAGGATTTGGTTCCATTAGGTGAATACAAGTCTGCTTCAGGTCAACAGTAAAATCTTCCTGGAAAGTACGTTTTTTAAATAATTTTTGGAAGATATTTTAGGTTTAGCTTCAAGCAACAGCTGCATGAGAACACCTTTAAGAGCTTACAAAAGTGAGGAAGAGATAGATGTGAGTGGGAGGCTGAGGGTCAGGTAGGTTGGGAACTACAAACTCTCAGACATTCACTCATCCCAAAGACAAAGCTGAAAATTCTGTCAAAGCTCAGTAGCTGCCATAAGGGTGGGCTGAGCCTGCAAGAGCAGCACAGACTCCCCAGGAAGATCCTTGTTGGCTTGGGAAGACTCTACTGGCATTCAGATGGGCTCTGTGGAATCTACTCACACTGTTTGAATGACCAGAGACAGTCTAATGCCTGAAGTCCAGGAGGTTTAGGCAGATTGCAGGAAGCAAATTTTTCTGGACCTACAGGCCTAAGGTTTCACAACTCCTTTATGTCTCTTAATCCCAAATGAAGAAGGCTCTGAAGATCTTGCCCTATGCATTTTTACACATACAGTGAATACCCTTGGAACAATCCTTTGGAAATTGCTTGCTTTTCACTGCTGTTAGACTACTGCCTTCTCCCCACGTTCAATGTTCTTGCCACTTAAAGACAGCTCAAAAGCAGAGACTTGTTACTTTACCCTAAAATCACAAAATACTTCAGCACAGAAAGCTCAGTTAAGTCCTGATCCCATGGTCACTCTGTGTGTGCTCTGCTGGATAGTGAGGGCTGAGCACAGGCTTATGTGTTTGCAGAATCAGGGATTATACCTTTGTAACCTTCCCAAAGCTGAATAAATGAGAACAATAACATTGTAGCCTTAAATCTATTTTTTTTTTAATTTGCTTTTCATTCTTTCAGCATTCAATATATCAAAAATCATTGATGGGTGAAGCTTCTTAAGGAAAACCACCCTGCTCCAAAAGGCAGCTGTCCCTGTTGGGGGGTATAAAAGTTTACATGGAGAAAAGAGCTGCTGCAGTCTTTGTCAAATGTCTACTTCTTACCTGTAGTTCTGATGTGTATGGTGTAAATATGTATTTAGGATTGTTGGTTTCTAAGCAAATAATGCTGATCTAATGAACTAGAGAGGTTGCTATAGTTTGTCATATATGTCTATATTTATAAGAAGGATGATTTGCCCTACAGACTGTAAGTGCACTTCACAAATGTGTGTGCCAAGAACAAAATGCATCAAGTGTGTGACAGCATGAATGGGTGGCAATAGTTTAGTAAAATACCATTTTTTTTGTTCAAGGAACAGCATTGCACATAGTTTCAATGCACCCGAAGGCACAAGTCCACATGGCTGATTAATAATCTACAAAGACATGGTAGGAAGAGGATCTCTATTTGGAGTTATTACTGAATCACAGAATGCTTTGGGTTGGAAGGGACCTTAAAGATCATCTCATTCCACTCCCTGCCACGGGCAGGGATACCTTCCACCAGCCCAGGTTGCTCCAAGCCCTGTCCAACCTGGCCTTGGACACTTCCAGGGATGGGGCAGCCACAGCTTCTCTGGGCAACCTGTGCCAGGGCCTCCCCACCCTCACAGTGAAGAATTTATTTCCTAATATCCAATCCAACCCTGCCCTCTGTCAGTGTGAAGCCATTCCCCCTGCCCTGTCCCTCCACGCTGTTCTAAAAAGTCCCTCTCCATCTTCCTTGTTCCAGTCACTGTAGTTGTACAATTAGAGATTTAAAGCAAACTTTTCTTAAAAACTCATACAAAGAGCTTAAAAAAAAAAAAAAATATCAAACCCCCTCCATCCTCTTGGATTTTGGATCCAGCAAGAGATCCTAAAGGAAACAGAAAAGCAATGCTTTTGAATGAAATGCCAGAGCATCCTAGTGAGGTATTAGTGGGAATGCAGCAGGGTCCAGGTGCAAAGGTGGCTGCAGATCTCCTCTTGCTGCCCCTCTCAGGAGGTTCTGTTCAGTCCTATTGCACTTGCACTGCTTTGAGTTCTTGAACAAAAATTTTAGAAAGCCCTGTTGAATATCAAAGAGTTTTACATTCCCTTCTGACTGTGAAATCCTTATGTAAGGACAGGCAAAATTCTCCTTCTCCTTCTTTGCAAATGGGATCAAAAAGCAACAGAGGGGAGGAAAAAAAGAAATAAAGAAATCTCATTAATAGAATGACTTTTGTTAGGAAAAAAATCAGTGAAATAGTCATTGTCCTTAGGGTCACACAGCAAAGATGTGACAAGGCTGGGGACAAGTTCTCTGTGCTCTGTCATCCAGCCCAGCCTCATTCAAGTAAAACAAAGCCACCTGCATCAGCCAGAGTAAAGAATGGATCTTTTTATAGCAGAAACCACAGGGCTTCCCAGATAGACATTTGAAAACTATTATCACAGATTGCCTTGGAAAATAGAAATAGATAACTAAGAGGTGCCTTGATTTACCTTTATTTGTACACAGGGCATTTTTCTAAACTTCAGAATTTTTTTTTCCACAGTGTTTTTGTTTTCTTAAGATTATTTTAGGATAAAAATTCATGTATTTGGCAATCACCAATCATTCCCTTCTGAATTCTTGCAGGAATGTAATGTATTACCAATCCTTCCAGATACAGTTGGACATAAATATTTGCCCCTACTTTAGATTATTAGATGATTACTTGCTCTAAAAACAAGATGTTAGGAGCTGGTTTTACAACTCCTTGCTGCAAGGACAGGGGGGTTGCTTGGCTGAGTAAGGACCATTCATATCATGAGAGGTATAAAAGATCCAGCCTGTGTATTTAAAGTATTTTGTTTTGCAAATGTTGAAAATAGTTGGTTTCCTATTTCTAAAAGCACCTAGCCAGTCTGAAGGAAGATAGTTAGGAAATAACATTAATAATACCTGCTGTAGATAGGGCATGTTTTGATTATACTATTATAAATACCATTATAATTTATTGCATTTGACTTTTCTTTTCTGGTATAACAGTGGGATGTAACTGCAGGGGATATTTATTTAGGGGGAAATGGTAATATAAATTAAACCTTTCTAAATTGCATGGATAAAGGGATGCACAGACCTCTTTGTAATGACATGCTCAAGAGTGCCATGAGTTACCATGGATTTTAGAGTCCCAGATAAGCTAAACTGTAATAATCTCCTAAAAGATACTTCAGAGATTCACTCATCTAAAGGCAGACACATAAAATTCTCAGTGTCTACAGTTTAAAGGAATAAAATAAAATAAATGTTAGTCCAAAGTTAAGATTTTGAATGAAGGGGCCTGTGCTGTCTATTCTGTTTACAATGGCTTGTGCTTTGTGAATACATATCAGATGTTGTAATATATTTTTATTACATAGAGTTAATGGTTCATACAAAGTGACATATATAAATAAATACATACTATAAATGTATATTGTGATTTTGTTAATTCTACTGTCAATGAAATGTGATTATGATAAACGAATCGGTGTGAGTTATTTTTTCATATAAAAATTAATGTTTTAAAAAGTCTGTTTCACTTCATTGTTGGAAAAGTCAAGCCTGGTGTGTCATTGCAATGATGTGACCCGATCAATCCTGCCCATTTTTTTGGAAAACAGCTACAAAGTCAATTGTAATAGAATAAAATTTCATTGCAACATGAGCAACACAAGTGAAATAGCTGGGGAATCTGACTACCCAATGCATATATCTAGTTGTAATATATGTCTTTAGTCTTAGTACACATGACCCTGCTTAGTTGTTCCTTGACATCTTGAGCAGGTTTTGGAGTTGGTGTGAAACCAGACTGGGAGGGTAGAGCTCTCTCTTGCTGCTTCCTGAACATCCTTCCCCACTTGGAGCTCCCACAGAAAGGTCTTGGGTTGAAGAGTCTTCCTAAATTCCACCCAAGTGGCAAATCCTGCAGAGGGAATAATTTCTGGTCCTCACAGGACAGAAGTCTTTTATTGTCTGTGTAAAGTCCAAACTCTTGGTCCCCAAATGTGTTTTTCTGCTGACCTACAGGGTTTAATCCTTGGTACTGGAATAATTAATAATTAATAATTAATGGTTTGGGCTGGAAGGGACCTTAAAGCTCATCCCAGCCCCTGCCATGGGCAGGGACACCTTCCACTAGCCCAGGTTGCTCCAAGCCTCATCCAACCTGGCCTTGGACATTTCCAGAGATGAGGCAGCCACAGCTTCTCTGGGCAACCTGTGCCAGGGCCTCCCCACCCTCACAGCCAAGAGTTCCTTCCTGATATCCCATTTAACCCTGCCCTCTGTTAGCTTGAAGTCATTCCTTCTGTTCTGTCATTCCAGGTCCTTGTCCCAAGTCCCTCTCCAGCTCTCCTGGAGCCCCTTTAGGCACTGGAAGGGGCTCCAAGGTCTCCCAGGAGCCTTCTCTTCTCCAGGTGAACACCCCCATCTTCTTGTCCACCAAGCTCTTGTCCACCAAACTCCCCAAACTCAGGTGTAGGACCTGGAACCCGGCCTTG